GTAGCATCTATCTCTAGTATGACCTGGTCTCTTGCAGAAGTCACAAATCAAGGCATTTCTTCCACTACTGCTACCTTGATAGAAATTGTTACCTGAAAAGTTATTTCTCCTCCAGAGTTGTTGTTACCTCCAGCATAATTAGTTCTAAAACTCCTTGATAGGTTGCCTTTGTTAGGGACAACACTTGCATTCAAGGAAGTTCCATCCATGGACATTCGACCAGCAAATCGAAATTCTCTTTACTTTTCCTTTTGAATTAACAATGAAAAGGCATGTGCCATTGAGGGGAGTGGGTTCATCATAAGATTATTACCCCTCACCACTGTATATATCTTATCTAGTCCTATAAGAAACTGAATTAATCGACGATCCTATTCTGCTTTATGCATATTATCCTTGGCACCACACACACAGATATAACTGCACCGATTTTTCACGTTCAATGTGCTTAGTTCTTCCCATAATTTTGTCATCCTTGTGTAGTAACAGTGATGTCGAAAACCCCCTATGTGAGATCATTGATTTCATTCTGAATTTGATACAATTTAGCTCCGTTTGTCTGATCATAGCGATCTTCTAGTTCCTTCCACAATTTCACAGAATCGTTGACATATTCTACACTATCTGAAATCTCTTTGGTCAGAGAATGCAAAATCCAGGATGTTACCATGTCGCCGCACCTCTGCCATTAGCGTGACATGGATGAATTCGCGGCTGACTTCAGACAACTTCCATCGATGAATTCGAGTTTGTTTTCCACTGACAAATCTCGCATCACTTCTCTTCTCCATGATCGATAACCTGCTCCATCGAATTGAACAGGAACAAGCATCATCCCTGGGCTATCTGAGGGATGCACATACAGAGCACTTGTTGAATCATTGTTAGTAATGGTTACACTTTTAGAAGCAGACAGACTTTCACCAACAACCATGATTTCGATTCCGGAAAGAAAGAAGAAGAAACAAAAGTTGAAATACTGCATAAATCGAGATAACTCGATGAGCTGGATTAGATCAAGATAGCTCGATCGAAATTAGCGAACCTTCGCTCTGATACCATATCAAAACTGCATCAATGGCTGAACTCAAACTGAATTGAATGTAGAGAAAAAAAAGAAAACTGTATTTCTATTGAAATGAGAAAAGTAAAGTGTTTTCATTTACAGTTGGGTATATATACACGAGCATAACATTTGCATTGGAATCTTCTAGAAAGAATGTAACTAACTAATCTAACTAATTAACAACTTCTAACTAATTAATGGATTAGTTGACTAACTAAATTTAAAACATGATTAATACATTATTTACAATCTTCAATAATATTCAATAGCCAACAGTTATGTTTACATTGGTATAATATTGTGACAGGTGATGCCCATAGATTCAGATTGAGACCGAGTCAAAATTTAAAATTTATTAGTAGTAGAATAGCGATATAAACAAAAGTTATTGAGTTAGATCGAATTTATTTGTTAAGTTTTAGCTCGATCCCGATATTTAAATGTGAATTTTCCTCTAGAATTGATCAATTAACTCAATACTTCCCTCATACTTATTGAGAAACAACTTGATTCACACAAATATTGAAGTTTTTTCTGGTGTCTTTATCTGCCACTTGAATTGTGATATCTGGTATTAATAATTGTGTTTTGATTTATTTGTTTTATATATATAATGAGTTTTTGCAAATACTGAATATGAACAAAAATTATTAAGTTGGATCAAATTTGTTTGTTAACTTTTACCTCAATCCTGATATTTCTATATGAATTTTCCTCTTGAATTGGTCAATAGCGCAATACTTCTCTTGATACTTGTTGAGAAAACATCTTGATTCACACACAAATTGAAGTTTTTCCTGTTGTTTCTATTTGCCACTTGAATAGTGATATGTGGTATTAATAATTATGTTATGATTTATTTGTTTTATATATATCATGAGTTTCTAACAATACTAAATATGAACAAAAATTATTAAGCTAGATTGAATTAGTTTATTAACTTTCAGCTCGATCTCGATATTTAAATAAAAATTTTCATCTAAAATTGGTCAATTTACTCAATACTTCTCTTTATTCTTGTCGAGAAAACAACTCGATTCACACATGTATTGAAGCTTTTCCTGTTGTCTCTATCTACCACTCGAATAGTGATATGTGGTATTAATAATAGTGTTTTGATTTATTTGTTTTATATATCTGTGAGTTTTTACATATACTGAATATAAACAAAAGTTATTAAATTAGATTGTATTTATTTGTTAACTTTTAGCTCGGTCCCAATATTTAAATATGAATTTTCCTGTAGAACTAGTCAATTAACTCAATATTTCTCTTTATACTTGTCGAGAAAACAACTCAATTCACACATATATAGTGATTCAAATTTTTTCTATTGTCTCTATTTGCTACTTGTAATTTTGCTACTATTGTTCTTCAAGTTGTAGGACAAAATACACATTTAAAACACTATATTATAGCTACCTACTACTCTTGTAATATTGATATGTTTGGCGGTGCTCCTAATGAGAAACTAATTACATATTTGATCAAATTTTCAAATATAGCTTATTTCAAAAGTGTCTTTTGTTTGATTTTCAAATAAATAAATTAATGTGTTTGAATAGTACTAACAATTGTCAGGCAAACCAATTTGGAAAATGTTTATCAATACTAAACAATATAATATTCTGAGTCAAGGTATAAAAAATATTTGTGAGAAAATTATTTTTGCCATTATTTTTTCAAACTTCTAAAACTCTAATTAAAACTCTTAAAAAATATATCACGTCAACATTAGTTAGACTAATATGAAACGAATGGAGTATGTATATATGACTGTTTTCTTTGGGGTGTCACCTAAACCACATTATTAATATTAGTAATACAGTTATCGCAATTTAATTATATAGTTGATTTGTTTTATATAGCAATTAGGTAGCGTCACTTTGAAGTTTATTCCCTCACTAAAAAAATTACTCCATAAATACTAATGGAAGCAACATTTTTCAGAAGAAAATATTTTGGAGGACGGAATAATTGACTGACAATTTGGTCCAGATTTTTATTTTATTTTTTTAAAAAGGAAAGTTGTGGTTCAGTGAACCTGGACAATATGTGATAAGGAGCTATACAGTGGTAATGTGACAAGCAAGTTAGGAATGTGAAAATAAAATTTAACAGCTCATCTGGTTGATTTATCCAAAGTCTGAACCTTTATGAGAGTTCGATTTTCACCTAATATTTCCTCCTTCCTTTTGCTTCCAATACCCCAAATTAAGAAAATAGGTTAGGAAGGGCAAATATTGAGATAAGCAAGTTAGGATTAATGGCAAATATTTTACCCATAATAATATTATACTTTAGATCTACATTTTTTTAAAACTTAATAATGCAATTCAATACTTTAATTAGGTGGCTCTCCATTAATTCCTATCCTTCATTTTCACATAGGACAGAGGACAATTATTATTGGATAGAAGGAGTAGTTACAAATTAATGTGATGATTCAAGATAGTCAAGTGATAAAATTAGGATAAGCAAGTAATCAGTTTTGACTTGACACACCTATTAAGAAAATAATGACGAGTGTAATAAATTTACCATTTTAATCCTATTAGTTGATGGAGTTCCAAATATATTTACTCCCTACATTTTTCAAAGATATTAACACAGTATTAATAAATTAAGGCTATAATCGGGAAAAAATGTCTTTCTTGATTTGTTAAAAATAACAAGTAAAATGGAAAATCAAATAAAAAAAATACTCCATCCGTTCACTTTTACTTGTCAAAAAAAGCAAGTAATCTCTTTTTCCTTTTTCTAGTGATAATTTGTTTTATTTTTACTTTTTCCACTAATAATTCTGCTTTATGTTTTGGTGGGTCAACCTAACCCATTACGCTAGCATTGTGAAAGTACTTAGATAGTACGCATTCACATACTGAGTTGGTAAACAATGAAATCTAATTTTATTACAACACATTGTATAAAAAGAACTTTTTATGTGCATACCTATTAAAATCTAAAGTAATAAATGTTTGGGTCAAGAGCTTTAGTAGTTTATACCAATTAAAATTTATTCTATATTTGATGGGATGCTTTGGCTAAAATCGATAGTAATAGTAAGATTATAATCTAGATAACTTATTCCATATAAAAGATGAAACAAAATATTCAAGCTATGATTTTAATTTTAATAATATAAACATGAATCCTAGTTTCAAATTAAACAATCCTTTAAAATTTGTTATAGATCGGCCTCTAAAATATGGGATCCCCTAAAATACCTCCATCAAATTGTATGTGTGGCTAGAGTAACCATATCAATATCAATAGTTATGACATAAATTAAAATATATAAGAACTTCAAAGTGGATATCTAACATCTAGTAATAATAATAATAATAATATAATTAAAAGTTACATCATCTCTACAGAAATTAGAGTTAGAAGTTTAGAAGGTTACTTTCGAGTAATTACCTTCCTAATCATTCAACTTTGTTTTATTTTTTCGAAAAACGACCTAACTTTAGATAAAATTGGCTTCTATAGTGACTATTAACTTTAAGGAAAAATCTTTTTGATCAAAAAATTTGGTTATTTTACCTTTTTAAACATTTTTATCCTTTTAACTTTAATACATTTTAACTAAAAAAATATGAAAAAATCAGTTTATTGTAAAATAAAAAAAATATTATAATTTTTTAATTTTCTGATCAAATTATGGTCAAATTTTCTGGTTATTTAGCATTTCTCTAACTTTAACTATGAATATTAATTTGGCAAAGTTGAGTGAATTTTGAAAAAGAAAATAAAGTTGAGTAACTTTTTAGAAAGACAAAATAAAATTAAGTGATTATAAAGTTTAATTATCAAAAATTGAGGGACGGACAAAGCTTGTAACTCAGAAAAATCAACATGAAAACTTAGAATGTCTTCCTATTTTGCTTATTTGGATCAGCTGAAGATTATGAAAAAGAAAGATGAAAAAGAAGATTACAAAAAGCTAGAGATCTCAAATTCCATATATGGACGCCCATTTTTACAGACACTCCACAATATTTGACAAAACGTAAATTAAAAACCGAAAAAAAATAATTCAACAAAATTGTTTGATGGATTCACTCTCTTTGTGATTCCGATCATATCTATACATAAGATTTCTGTACTCCTTATTTTACTTGATATCCTAAATCAGAAGCCGATTTTCTGTCTTTTTATTGTTATTATTTCGGCTTATAGCTTCGTTGATCATCATCAAGATTCATTGATTATGTCATGATTAGTGAACAAATCAAGCGACTGCAACCGTGCCATTTCGTACAGCTTTATTTGCATCAGTTTCTTTAGTTGTTGGAGTCTCTGTTTTTGTTCTTGAAGATCTCTTTGCTGCAGCAATTTTCCATTTTCTTTCATTAGCTTCATCCATTTCTATCTGTTCTTGTCTGCATTCTTGGCTACAAAATGGTGTATCCCCTCTGTAATCAAAACAAAAACAAAAAATCACTCCCATCAGATCGCTTTTATCTCAAAAAAAAAAAAAACTAAAAAACAGGGGGTCTAGATCTTTCTTGATTTACAATCCCCAAACTCCACTTGTGTTGTTATAATTGTTGTTATAATATATATAAATCATAACAGAGTTGGATCCATGATTTAAACTGTTCATATGACTGAACTGGAAAAAAAATAAATTATACCAACCTGTACATGAAGATGTCATGGTTGTGAGCTAAGGTTCTCTGGCAAAGAGAACAGGTATCAAGAAAATGGGGTTGGTAGTTTTCTTCACATCCAGTGTAGTATAGTGCAGCGTTCATTTTTTCTTCTTTCGAGATTTAAAAAGGGAAAAATTGGGTTTGTTGTGTAAGGAAGGAAACTGGATCTTGCTGAGATGAATGATTGATAGATAAGAGCAGAGAAGAATGAGAAAAGAAGATTCTGGGAGGAGGGCAATGTATGCCCAAACTCTATTATTTATATTGTTGCCCAACTGAAAGAGCCTAATAAATTAATAAAATTAATTGGGTCTATACACCATTTATCAAATAGTTAAAGGACTGTCTTGTCTCAGATAAATTGAGACGATAAATAAATATTTGTTGTATAGATTGTGACGGAGGATGTTGATGGACCCCTTAAGTAAAGTATTAGTACTAAATGGTAGTATTTCTAGGACTTGAGGGAGCAAAGATGGCAAAAAGGAAAAACCAGTAGTTTTTGAGAATCCAGTGGGTGGAATAAAGGAAGTATATTACATAAGCCAATTTGGTTGTGACAGCAAACAAGACTACTTTTTCTCAATTTGCACTTTTTTTAGGACAAAAACTGCTTTATTAGCAATTTGTTCCCTCATATTATTGACAAGTGCATTAACTTTGATATTTTATTCAATTTGTGGAGTATGTTTTTCTCTTCTTTCGTACTCATGGTATTTGCTTTTTGTTGCAAATCTACTAGTATTACAATATACACTATTTTCTTATATAGCATGCTTTTTTTCTTCCTTCAGTACATAAAGTAGCCGTACTACAAAGTATTTTTAGTTTCAACATCTCATGACTCATTTACGAAAAATCAAATCTTTATCAATAAAATTAAAGTTCAGACGGACAACTAACTGAACAGGAACAACATTTTTCATAACTATAGGACTAAACTAGCAAAAAAAAAAACACATTTAAAAAATAAAACTCTACTATTAAAAAGGATAAAAAGAAAAAAAAAAAGACTTTTTCCATGATTTCTCTAAAGCTCCATTTTTTGCTGTGTCATTTTTCTTTCCTCCCACATTGGAGCTGTGTCATTACTGGGCCCCATGGGTCCCACAATACAACACATCATGGGCCCCACCTTTCCTTCCATAATTAAAACACAGCCAATTAAAAACATTGAAGTTGGTGGGTCCCAATCAAAGGACCAGCTTAAGACATGCGGGCTCAATTTTCAAAGTCTTTCTCTACCCGCTGCCCGAATTCATCTGACCAAACCCGTCGGGCAGCTTATTTTATTTAATTAATTTAATTTTTAGGATTTGCAGTTACACGTCCATCCTCGTCATGTCAGTAACTTCTCATGTACACGTGGCGTAGAGAAAGAAAAAATAAGAGAATAAATTAGGGGTAAATTTTATTCCTAGGCAAGCAATATGCAGCAGGCTTGACTCAGAAGGCGTTAAGAGAAATCGATCTCATGGATGACTAACCTCTAAATCAACTTAGTTATACCGAAGGGGAATTCAGATAAAATATTGATAGTATTATTAAATAGAATGACAATTTTTTATATGATTAGAAAGAAAAGTGTCATATAAATTTTAAAATATTCCTTAACACGTGGCGTTTTGATTTGTTGAAGAGGGATTTGTTCCATGTTCTATGTCATAAGGAGGTGTCGCAATATTAACGAGGTCAATGGAATCAAGGGCTTTGATCTCAATTATTGTTTCACATAATTAATATTTTTAAAATTTTATTTTAGCTTTCTCTTTCTTTCTCTATCAATCACACGTAGGATTTGTTTGGCCATTGGAACAAATTCTTATTCTTTTTTTTGTGTGTGGTTGGGAAAAAACTTATGTATTAAGGTTTAGTATATCCAATATCATATTTGATGAGTAGTAGTATTTGATTATTATTTTTTTTTATATAAAATTATCACACTTAATATTCTGTGTAATTACTGTTTCACAATTCATCAACATAAATAAAATAGATACTCCCTCCTTCACAATTTATGACTGGTTTTAGTTGAGCATGAAATTTAAAAAGGAATTTTGAAAATTAATGAGTAGTTTATAAAAAAAAAAAGATATAAACGTGTGTGTGGTACAAACCATCTGATTTAAGGAAAAAAAAAGTTAAAAGTTAAATTATTGGTAAAATACGTATTTTTTTTAATTGAATAAAAAGAGAGAAGTACAGAGTAAAAGATCACTTTTTGAAGCTAAAATTTTAGAAAGAACAATGATTTAGGAAATTAACCAAAAGAAAGGACAATAACATATTTAATATAATTTCATTACTTAATAAATAAGATATGTAAAAAAAACATGTACAATAAATCTTACCCCTATTTTAAGACAATAGATGGGCTTAGCTAATTCTATTTTTATTCTAATATGTTCCACTTTAATGGTTTGCTTTATATATTAGTAAAATATCTTTTTGCAAACTAAGCTAAGAGTGTATGACAAGTAGAGATACTAATTAAAGGGAATCTCTGACACTTGATTGGTTACTTGAACGTGTAATCTACAAATTAGACACGTAATTAGAAGTTAACAATGAAATAAATAAATGAGGAATGATTTTTTTTTTTCTGTTCCCTAGAAATTTTCTAATTATAATAAAGTCTAAGTACTTAATGACAGAGAGATTTCATTTGCTTATTTATAAATATAATATAATATAATAATTGCCAAAAAAAAAAAACGTCTGCAAGTTTGATCAGATTTTGATCTCTTTTAAAAATAAAGTTGTGTTGTAATGAATAGCTGGAAGTGAGTCAGAAGCAATAATATGATGCATGTGACGGAATCAATTAACACTTAAATAATTAGATATTATGGACCTTAAAACATGCGATCAGCATCTATTGTAATAGATTTTATATCTATTGTTTGGTATTGTTAGGTCATACCTAAATGTGGCTTTCTTTTTCAGCTAACTAATGAGGTCATTAAAAGTATATGTGGGTTTAATTGGTTAAGTTAGTGTTTGGTCATAAATTAAAAATATTCTAAATTTGATTAAATTATTGTTTTTATCTTCGAACTATTTACAGCCTTAAAAATACCTTTTTACTTGACTAACTAAACTTAAATACATCTTCAATCTTGCATCATGAGTGAAATACACCCCTAAATTCTCCCCAAATTTTTGAGTGTCTTCAACACTTCTCTCGACTTTTTATTAAGAGTTTCATGCTCCTACTAGTGTGTATTTGAGTTTAGTTAGTCAAGTAAAAAATTATTTTTAAAGCGGTCAATAGTTTGGGGTCAAAACTAATAAGTTGTGCCAAATCACGAGGGTTTTCAATACTTCCTCTCCTTTTTAATAAAAACTACTAATAATGCAATTATCAGTTACTACAATTCATTAAAATATGATTAGTTATGAAGATCCATCAATGCAGATAAATAATAATAACAACAACGAAAGTAACTATTTATTATTTAATATAATCTTCCCACATATTACAAACAATCTCTTCAGAATGACCATGCATTTCAAATTCAGGTGTGTACTTGATGAGGGGAAAGGGTAAATAAAATTTCGAATAAACTTTAAAATTTTAAAAGAACTCAACAACTATTTTTTGGCCTCAAAATCACTTTTTTCGTGGATCTTGAGATTATTATTTTTTCTTTTCTAAAAACTTAACAAATTTATGGAACGAATACTAAGGAGTATGCTGAGAGATGAATAAGATTCTTTCATTGTTGATTAGATAACTCAAATTTCAAACTTTAAAAAACAAAGGACTTAATTCAGATATCTCGAGCTTCAAGCTTTAAGAAAAGAAACAAATATGAAGAATCCTTTAATTAATGATCATCTATCTATAGCAAAATTTTGAATTAGGAAGGCCAAAATTCTTGATATCAATTGTTACAAAATATTTAATTTGCAGTATGACTGGGTTGTTTAATATTTTAGGGGCGGGGAGCGGGGGGGGGGAGGGTTATAATTTTTGTATGCAATTTAAAATGGGAACACATTTACATTGACGATAATTCGTCTAGTTGATAAAATAAAATATCTGATGATATCACTTATTAAAATATTATAACGAAAATTATTAATGAAATATGACGAAGGGATTAGGATGAGCATTAATCTCGTGTTAGGTATTTGAATTAGGGAAAGTTGTAAATTGTTTCACATTTGATATTTCAAATATATATGATTACTAGAGATGATTTATTTAGTAAAATAAACACTAAATCAATATTTTTTTAAAAAGAGCTTAAAAGGATAGGAGGGACCAAGGAGTAACTAGAAGTCTAGAACCTTATTGATTTTCTAAAACAGTGAATATTTTAAATAAAAGCTTTTCGACTTAAGTAATAAATAAGTGAATCGGAGAAAGTATAGAAGACCTACACTCAAATACAATTTAGTCTCTTGATATCAAATTCATCTTAATTAAGTATTTTTAATATTGTAAATAAATTATTTATATGTTAAATATACTAAAAGTGCAATAAATTGTAGGGAGATTTAAATCCACCATTTTATTCTATTTAATTTTTAAACAGTCGTAAAAAAAATTCACCGAATTATATATATATACATATATATATTTATTACTCTTATTTAGAAATGACAGTTAGAAGGACTAACACTGCATTAAATTAGTTGTACAACGTGCAAAGAATTTTGTACATTAACTTTTAACTTTATTAAATTAGTTGTACAGCGTGCAAAAAGAAATGTACATTAACTTTTTAGAAATGATAGTTGGAAGTACCTACGTGTCTAATAGCCAATCAAAAAAGCCCACAAAGCCCAAACTATTGGTGTTGACATAAAATAATATAGACTAATAAGATAAAATTATGAAATTATCCTTAAAAAAACAACCAAAAGGACAGCATGAAATAATTGTACTATAAGTTATGAAAATTGTACATTAACTTGGGCTTATTTTACTTTTTTGCAGTGCTTTACATAATTGGACTAAAAGCAATATAAGATGTACGTCAACATTGCCTCTTGAATAATGTACTGATACATACACGTGTTCATTAGATGTAAATCCAGTTGTCCTATAAGTTAAATATATTATTAGTTCTTCCACATTGCTTTGGTTCTTCTTCTTTCTTCACTCCTCTTTCATATCTTATTGTTCTATGTTTAATTATATTGGAGAAAGAATTACTTAGAAGAAGTTAGAATTGACGTGTACAAAATAGAAGTTAGTAGAGTTAGTTAATAGTTTATTATAAAGTTAGTTAGACAAGTCAGTTAGATGACACTGTATATAACAACATGTAAGTCACAGTGT